ATTAGCCCCCTAGCTCATATGAACATATGTGTTCATATGAGTCCAACGGTCCAGATTGAATCTGGACCGATCTGACAAGCATGACATCATTTCGTATTTGAATTTTAATATTTTTTTTACAAATCCAAATGATTTAAAATTTTAGGCGTGTATTCTTAAAAAATAAGAGAATCTAATAAAAATATCAAAAAAATAATTTGTAAGAAATAAATTGATCAAAATACCCTTGAAATATTTTAGGGGTATTTTGGTCAATTTAGTTTTACGAATTATTTTTAAAATATTTTTATTAGGTGAACCTTTATGAGAAGAATGGACGCCTAAAATTTCAATTTATTTGGATTTGTAGAAAAAACATAAGGTTTCTGATTCCAAAACCACATCTAGACAAAATTTAGTAGTGTGCCTTAATGCTATAATATAAAAAAGAGCATCTTATACAAACCTCACCCTATTCATAGGGATAATTTAACTTGAGCATAAATGGAATGTGGAGTGGATTTACTTGATTTACAATTGAGTCTTATTAACGTTACTTCTTATGAGTAGTATCATGAGAAACAAGTAAAACTTTTTATCATTAAGGCCCCTTTTTGTTTCTTGGAAATGGAAATCAAGGAGACTCTTTTCCATGGATACCAGTTCCTGCGTTTTCGAGGACGTGATTCCTGTTTTTACCTGGATATTGGTATCCACTTTTTGAGCCCATCATGTGGAAAGGCCAATTCCAACAAAATTTATGGTATTAATATTTTTGGAATATGGGAATGACTCCATGGAGGCGACATTACTACCTTTGATAGTTTGAATTGAGGTTTGCACAAAAAAACCTGCATCGAACTTCTCTCTCTGTGTCTCTCTCTTTTCTATAACACCTCTCTCACCCCTCTCTCTCATTAGCTCTTCTCTCTCTCTCCATAACCTCTCTCCCTCTACTCTCTTGTAAACTTCTCTCTATCTCTCTCTCTAATCTCTATCTTCTTATGTAATCTATTTTGTTTCTTTCTGTTAATCCTCTATCTCACTCTTTCCGCTCTTTATTTCTGCGAGTTTTCTCATTCTTTGTCAACTTGCTCCCTCTCTCTCCTCTCTTTCTCTTTGTATTTGTAATCTCTCATCCCTTTCTCTCTCTTTCTCTCCACCCACAATCTCTCTCTATCGTTTCCATTCTCTCTCTAACTATCTTTCTTACTTAGCAATTTTAAAATGTCACCATTTGTTTCTCACTTGTAAAATACTACAAAAAGTATATTACAAAAATTCTACCCCCAACAATAGGAACTAAAAAATCTTGAGAACGATAGAACTTAAAAAAACAAAACAAAAAGAACAAGGATATAATAAAAGTTTTGAATTTATGATAGACATACCTTCTAGACAATCCAAATTGTTGATAGGCATCTTTCAATTCTCTTACTGAATGCTAAGAGATACCAATTTAGGGAGATACTGGGGTATATTTTATTTGAATTACCATCCCTGGCTTCCCTAAAAAATGTGCTTCCTTTAGAGTTGGAATCACATACCTTGGCATTGATATTGGTCAAAATTTCGTTTTGTTTTTTTAAATTGAAAAGGAGGAGATGTGAACTTATTGCATGAATGTTTGGAAGAAAAAAAGGAGTGTTCGGGGAGATATTTGCCTTGATTCATGCAACCGGTTGTTGGACGATTTATGAGGCTTGTGCGTATGCCACTTAGACTTTAGAAATGCTCAAACACTCAACCTTGTCAGGTGATTAGGCTTGACAAAGTTGTTTGGGTATATTTTGTGAGACTTTTGAGGAATTTCGCCACCGTGTTTGTGAGTCAGGAAGATGGTGAGCGGTAAAAGTAGTTTTGGGGATGATGGTGTCAGAAAGGAGGAAGATGGGGAGAATGGGATCCCCTTTTGTAGCCTTTGATATGAAGTTTCTTTCAGATTCTTCAAAAAATGCTACAAAAGTTGTTATTAGGTTATTTCTTCTCCTTTAGATGATGTTTTCGGGGGGTTGTTGTCTCCTCCTTTAGACGATGTTATCGGGTTAGGTGATTGGGTAAGCAGGGCTTGGGGATTGTCCCACATTCCACATGTGAAAGCTTTAGGGGCATCTCGTGTAGCTTTTTGCCTAAGCTGTGAAGAGGACACAAAAAGGGTGATTCGTCAAAGACTTTTCACAGTTTGTGAGAGAACACTAACTCTGGATATCTGGCATCCAAGTGTGTATGTTTCACATGTTCTGATGAAAGAGACTTGGATTCGTTTGTAGAGCATACCTTTTCATGCTTGGAATCTTGGTGTGATTTAGAAACTTGCAAACTTATGTGGGATCTTTTATAAGGTGGACTGGGATCTGTTAAAGAGAGAGGAGATGAGGATTCTCAGAGTTAAGGTTTTTCTTAATAGATTTTATCCAATTCACAAGAAGCTACTATTGAGGGTGGGTCAGGATGATTTCATTATTGATGTGACCATGGAGGGCCATTCTGTAGGCCCAACCAAGAATATTAAGGCCGTCCGTAAGCCTTCAATAGCCGTTGATTCTGGCAGGGATTTGCATGATGAGGACTGGACTTTG